GGGACACGGGGAGGGGGACACGGGCGGGCTCTGTCCCAGGTTTGGGGACATGTGTCACGCTGCAGCAAAGCTGGCAGGGCTGGGACACGGGAAGGCACGTGTCCGTGGGCAGGGGGTTGGAAGGGAATCACTGATCAGGGATCCGTGCCCCACGCGCAGCAGGATCCTTGGGGAGAAAGGGGGGGATGCTCTGCGGGAGCACCAAGTGCCAGAGGAAAGTGCTGACGTGGCAGTTCAGGCTCTGACCCTCTGCAGCTCCCAGGAGGATTTTTCCCCACCCACAGCACAGCATGAGGGTGGTCTCTGGGGCTGCTTTTGCACCCCAGAAATCCACGGAGAGGGTGTAGGGGGACACACACCACATCTCTTGGCACTGGTGTCTCTCAGCCAGGTTTTTTTTTAGGCTGGGCTGGTGTGAAGTCTGGGTGGGAACCAGCAGGGCTGCTTCTTCCAGGAGCCAGAGTTGGGGTTGGCCAAGCTCGGGGCCAAGTGCTTGGGGCTCAGGCATGAGGAAACCATCCAGCACCAGAGGGAAGGTCTGGCCGAGCTCCGGGAGAGGGTCAAGGTGCTGGAGAAGAGGCAGTGCTCAGGTGAGGGGGGTTTGTGCTCCACAGCCTGGGTGTGTGTCTCCATCCATGGGGAAACCTGATGAGCCTCAAGGTGGCTGGGGCAGGGAGCCAGGGAGTGTGGTTTGGAGTCTGGAATGATCTGTGTTTGCCTCCAGCTGCTGTGGTGAAGGGTTCAGAGCCACTGGTGCTCCTGGTGAAAGGCTTAGCAGGGAGAACAGGCCAGGGAACAGGTCTTGGGAAGGAGCCTGCACCCGTGCTGGGGACAGAACTGGAGGCTGGCAAGGTGAGACATCAGGCAGGGGGGTGGCTGGTGCCTTCAGTGAAGTTATTCCCTGGAATGGGGAGAAAGAGGCTTTCAGATGGAATAATATCTGAGGGAGGGGTGAAACCTGGCCAGAGTGGTTTATCCATGTAGCACAAGGCTGGAGGCAGCTCCTCCCACAGCCAGGAGGTCTGTGGGCTTCGTTGGTCCATCCTTATCTGTGCAGGTTCCTGGGCATGTTCCTGCTGGGGGCTCACACTGGACAGGGAGCTCGGAGGTGGCTGGTGGGCTGGACCCTGGGGAGAAGATGGTAGGTCAGTGCCACGTGTTGAGGTGGTGCCAGCACTTCTAGAGTCACAGAAGGTGGGGAGGGGGATGGAAGCTGAGTGGTGGGCTGGGATGTGGCAGAGGACTTGGCAGGCCTGGTGAATAATGCATCTCCTCCTCTTCCTGCAGTACCTTGACATCCTTGGTGCTCTGGGAAGGCTGATGGAGGTGAAGGAGCTGGCAGGGATGCAGTCTCTGAAGCAGCTGCCTCAGGAGGAGAGGGAAAAAGTGGGATTGCAGAGATGGAAGGACCTGGAGCTGCTGTACGAGAAGATCAGGAACCTCAAGAGTCGCCTGGAGAGAAAAGAAGAAATGCTGAAGGGTCACAAGGCCAGGGTGGAGCAGCTCAGGTACCCAGAGCCCAAGAGGCTGTGACTGGTCAGGGCTCCCAGTGGGGCCAACTCCTGGGGTGCCAAGTGATGGGGAACACGGGGAGAAGACCCTTAATAAGTCATGTTTCTGTCTGGGACCTGTCAGGTTTTGGCCAAGGTATAAAAACTGTGAAGAGAAACAGGGAAATGTCCTCTTGGTTCTCTGCACAAATGCAGAAGTTTTGGGGTTTTTTTTTCTTGCCCACAGCAGGGGAAAAAAAAAACCCACAGAGGGAGAGATTTCAGGGCTGGTGTAAAGATGTCACCATCTTCAAAGTAAGGAAGAGGTTTGATGGTGACCTCCAAGCCAGCAGTGCTGCCACAGGCACCCCCAGAGTCCCCCCCAGGCTGGTGTGCTGAGCAGAGCAGGTGTGTGAAGGAGATGCCTCCATCAGGTGGCACTTGAGTCTTGGCAAGGGCAGGATGAGAAGGGTTTCTCCATGGGGTAAGGACTTGGAGAAGGAAAAAATGCTTGCTGGGACATGTGCAGGTCCTCACAGGGTGTCAGGCACTCTGGTGTCCTTTAGTGTAACCCCGTGGTGTGAAGGGTCCTAGGAGGGACACAAGGGTCCTCCTCACAAGCCACCTCTCCCAGGCTGAGCTTAGCTGGGGGGTTGCTGAGGTGACAGACCCCCCCTCCTGCTCCACACAGGCTGAGCCAAGAGTCCCTGCGAAGGTGCCAGGAGGAGATGTCCAAGCTTGAAGATGAAGCCTACAGGGAGGCAGAAGAGAAGGCTCTGCTGAAGGAGGCCCTGGAGAGGACACAGCTCCAGCTGAGCCAGGAGAAGAGGCTGCTGAAAGCAGCCAGAGTGCACAAGGTGAGGACGTGGGAGCTCGTGAGGAGCCCCAGGAGCTGAATGTCCCTGTGCCTGAGTGTTCAAAGGCAGGTCCTGGTGGTCAGCAGGTACCTCCAAGGTCAGGGAGGTGTTTCAAGCTGTGTCCACCCCAATGACACAGGAAGGCACAGGAGATGTGCTGCACAGCCTGTGTGCAGATGCTGAAGGCAAGTCCTGCAAGTAGAGGGAAGGTGACTCCAGGTGTTACCCAGAGGGCAAGGTGAAGGTTTTCTGGCTCTTGGGTACCACGAGTGCTTGTGCCCTTCTGCACCTGGGGCAGATGCCAGGCCAAGTGCTGGAGCTCCATGCCATTCCCAGCTCCTGGACTTCACACAGCAGGCAGGAGGTCCATCCATCATGGACATGGGATGGTGTGGTCTGTCTGACCCTCCCAAGAGGGTGAGCATCCCCAGGGTCCTGCTGCTCAGCTGGGGTGGCAATGGGTGTGTAGAGAGCTGACTGGGTTGGCTTGAGCCTTGTGGGGAAGGAGAAGGGAAGGTCCCACACGTCCCACAGGCAAGGTGAGCTCTCACAGGTGAACATGGTGCTTGATCTCTCTGTTCTGCAGCCTGGAGCCAAGAAGCCTTTCTGCTCGGGGAAGCTGAAGGCCAAGGAGTGCCCAGCAGAAGCTGCCAAGATGGGAAGCACGTAGGAGAAGCTCCAGCAGGGCCTTCAGGAGGCCATGGCAGGAGCACCACATCTCCCTGCGGACTCTGTAACGTTGGATGGGGTACAAGGTGTGGGTGTGTTTTGAGGAGCCCCTCCTGGTGTGACTGTGGGCTGTGTAGGACCTTGTTTTCCTGCAGGACGTGTCCCACACTGCACGGTGGGGTTGGTGGCAAGAGGGGTTGTGTGGGTACAGCTCATTGTCTCCAGAGATATCTAGAGACAGATTCATGTGTGAATACAGCCCAGTGTGTCCAGTGAAGATGTGAAGTCAGTGGTGTGGGCACTGTCCTGTCCCTGTCCTCAGGCACGTGACAGCTGGTGGGGCTGAATTGTCCTTTGCACCTCCCGTGCCCTCCAGTCCCCACGGTGTCCTGGGGGAGCTGGGGCAGGGGGCAGGGATGCAGGACCCCAGGAATGCTGGGGCACAGCACTGGAGCCACTGGGAGCTGCCAGGGAGTCATGGGAAGGGATTCCATGTGATGGTTATCCTCTGGATCCCACCCCCACCACACCCCCAGTAGCTGCTGGGTGGCACTGGAAGGGCAGTGCAGGTGTCCAGGGCTTGATCCAGAATCCCCTTCCCATCCCTTGCTCCCCAGGAATAACACCTGCATCTCAGGGAGTTGGGGGGGGTCCCACCAGCTGCTGACCCTCGGGGAG